TTGTCCAAATCAAAATAGCCAGGAATGATAGAAAATTTATTGAAAATGATATTAAATAACTGGTCAAATTTATAATTGAATTATAAGTTTTGATAAATTTACTTTTGAAATTAATCGTGCACGATGTACTCTTAGCTGCACTAAGATGCGAATTACCGATAATTTGACGATGAAATGGAAAAAAGGAGTCTTAGTGGTAAACTTTTGGAAAAGTAAACGTAAGGTGGTTTCGCAGCTCTTGAAAATCTCTATCAAGCGACGACTTTACCCTCTTCAATAAATCGTTAATTCGCAAATCAAATTGCAAAGGCACTAGAGTAACATTAACTAGCATTTATTGACACGGATTAATTATAAGTTAATACTTAAACATTTTTTCATAAAACTATAATTAAAAATTATTGATAGTTTTGACTCAACAGCAAACTTTTAAAAATGAGGATCAGCAATTAAAATTTAAACTTAATTAATTAATAATTGTGAGAATACTTAGCTTCGTCGAAAAAAAGCTTAAGGGTATATGCAGTCAGGTGTTCTCCTCAAACAGGCCAAGTTTGAGGGTACATATAGAGGGAAGAGTTAAGGCCCCTCTGATCGCGCTTGAAGGTATAAAAAGTGATGTGGATTATAGAAAATGTAGAGAATACTACTTTTTCAAGCTGGAGACGTGATATTTCTGTATCATGCGTGTGTCTTGAATAAAATTTTTACTTTATATTTCGTTTAACTAAAAGCAAAGAATGTTTTCGGTAGCTGGTACATAATCTCCATAAACCTTTTTCTATAGAAAATTAAGAGTCAAAAAGATACAACTATAGCACTGTCTGTAAGAAAAAGCAGAAGGTACTCCACTATTTTCTGAATATCTCGTAAACGAAACGACCTAATCACCTGCCCATGTAGTCAAAATCAGCAATAAATTGACGATTTTTTAGCGATTACTCAGTCGATTTATCATGCGCTTAACCGTCAATAAATCAGCGAGTTTTGACGATTAATAACAATTAATCGGCGGTTTTTTTGGTTTAACAGTCAACTGGACTCCTCGGTTTAGAGCTGACTCAAATCGAAACAATGAGTCAGCTCTGAGAAAACTACAAAGAACACCCTTAGCAACTCTGTTTTAAGCTAAACCAAGAAGATGGGTTACATGAATTTCGGCCCACGAATTTTTCGTCCCGGACCGAAAGTCTAAAAAGAATTTCAGACTAAATCTTAATTTACCTAATTAATTTTATAAATAATTAGTAAACTTCATGGTGCTCAGCACTATGCACTTTCAATAAAACGTAGCGCTCGGCAGTATGACATCTTGTTCAGTAAGATGAAAGTGGCGGTATTAGTGGAGAAACATCGTTCGACTAAAATTAAAATTATATTGGTAGAGTATTGTACTCTGCCTCACTTCTGATATAGTTGAATGCAAACTGCTAAACATCATGTTGAACTGCTTAGCACTATATCGTCTTGCCGAGTAACTTGTCGCACTGCTGAGCGCTATGTCATACTGTTGTGCACCATGACGTTTACTAATTATTTATAAATTAATTAGGTAAATTAAGGTTCGATTCAAAATTCCTTTCAAACTTTCGACCCGGGTCGAAAAATCACCGGAATTTCGAAAGTTCGTGGGCCGAAATTCAGGCGTCCCAAGAAGATAATCTGAAAAGAAGAATATTTCTGGTTGAAATCGTGTTTCTTATACACTCACTATACTGCAAAATAAAAAGATGAATAACAGAAAATCATTTAATGGCTTAAAATCAAGAATAAAATTGCAATTAATTGACTATTATTAAAAAACAGAAAAATTACCAGGATCGCTAATTAGTCATATAATTAATTTGCGATGCTTTTAAGGATGGCGATATACCGATGATTTTTAACAATTAGCGACTTTTCATGCAAGTTGATTAATCATCAGTTGTTAAAAATCTCCGATATATGACAGTTGTTCAAGTCAAAATTGTGATTAATTTGCGATTTTCTTGCTAATCGCAGGTAATCGTCCACATAGTTATTTTGTTTATTAAAATTAACGTCAGTAAACAGTTACATGTGACATCATTTCATTGTATAAATACTCTACAATGAATATCAAAATGTTTCAACTCAGCCATAAATTCAGATATTGTAAATAATCCTACACAGCTGTGTGCTCCATGATGAAGTGGACTCATTGGATTGTTATGCATTAATTTATCGACTAAGATGACTGCAGCTGTTGCAGGAATCTGTGGTCCGTCGCCGCTACCAGCATATAATTGCCAGGTAATAGTCAGTTTACTATTAAGATCTTTCCCAATTCCTTGTATTTGCACAAACATTCCTCCAACATCAGTTCCAGCATTTCTAAACCAGTTCCACTCTGAAATAGTTTTGAGTATCTCAGCATACTTAGATAAATCAGAAACTAATCCTATCCTTACTAACCAACTCAATGCCCACAAACCCAAATGTATTATAGATAATTCGAGTCCAGCTCGAAATGTAATAGTATGAGCACTAGGAAATAACTTGGGTAGTAATTCTAAGTCAGGAACATCTACTGCACTTAACCAGCGCAAATGAAGTTTAGAGTCAAATAAATAAGATAAATTCAATGCTTGCCATCCATAAATGGTTGTCATCTGATCATTGATTAACCACTTGAATGGTTTGCCTGTGGAACTGAGAATCGATTGAATAGTTCCTAATCCTCGACGAGTATGATTGCCTGGTGAAATACCTATATTAATCATTTCAACTTTTGACAAATACTGTTTTGATAATTCCAAACAAACTGTTGAACTGAGTCCTGGAACTGTCGAGGCGCCACTAATTAGAGTAACATTCGATTGAAGTGCTTGTTGATGTAATTTATGTGGAAATGTAGTTACAAATGCTCGCGAATCTGCTAAATCAATATAATGAATTTTATGCTGTACACACGTTTCAGCCACATGATAATTTTGACATTGAAAAGGTCCCGCACAATTAATAACTATTGAAGGTTTCAATTTCAGTAACTGTTCTTGCAGTTGATCTGTAGCATGTAGATCAAATAATATTGAATATAACCTTTTGTCTATTAATTGATCCTGCTCAACAACGTGTTTATTTGCTTGCTGCAAAATTTCTAATTTAATCTCTTCTGAATGATGTCGACCTGCTATCCAAACGGTGTAACCTTTCGCTAATAGCTGACTTGCTATTCTAGCTCCAAACAATCCATAGCCGCCTAGTACTAGTATTTTGGCTGTATAGCCTAGATTGACCGGTAAACAGGGGTATGATGCTGCAGAATGTGAATATGGTTGGTATGTATTTGTGCAATAAGATCGAACTTGTGTATAAAATTGCCCTGCACTACTACCTGTTTTTAAGGAGCTGTGATTGTTTTGTTTGATACTGAATGCTTGAGTTATGTTCGGTTTAGAGAATGTCTGAATTTCACCACTATATCCTCCTATATAACAATTCATATCATTCATTAACCAGCGTGTCAATTTATTCACTGGAGCTGATACAGTTACATCAAACTTCCATGATTTACCTGATTCTGTAATTTCAGTAATACCCGTAACAGAAGGTAGCAGAAATCGCGGAATAGTAATAGAAAAGAATGATGAATTATATATACTTAATCTACATGATTTCAGTTGATGTTGAAAGCCGGCAGGAATCGATTTTAAGTGGAATAAAAATTGCATTTTGATTGGTAATATAGAATGACCTATTGTTTCAATTAGATGATCGTTTTCTAGAAATTGTATTGTTTCAAATTTATGGATGCGATTAGGATGTAGATAATAGAAGTAGCGAGTCCACGTTTCTGAACCATCGGCATGCTGCTGAATGGTGACTGATACCTCAGCATTCTGTGCTGGAGGAGGTGCACCACCAACGCCAGCTAATATGCGTGAAAGCCAACTAGGTCCTCGTTTAACAGTTGCCGTACCTTTACATTCATGTGTTCTAACTTCAGTTTGCTCACAATGAAATAATTGTAATAATTCAGGTAATTTCTCGAATTCAGAACATCCTAACGCTCGAGCATACAGACCCTGTCCTAAATTAGGCACGGTATAATTCCATCCGAGTGCTACTCGATGTAACCGATTAAATATAGAAGATCGAATAGTGAATGGAATAGCTTGAATAATAAAGTTTCTCAGATAAATAAGTGTTGTATTTGATATTTGACCTATTGCTGCAATTGCATGGCTAGCTAACTGAACCAGTTTTATATGATATTTACGTTTTTGCACATATTGTTCTAGAGCTGAGTCGAATTTTATATGATTTGCTTCATGTACTGCGTACACAGTTCGTAATTCAGACGCTAACTGTAATGAGTCTTGAATAGCTAACATACCTCCTGATGCTAAATTAGGAGGAATTGCATGAGCAGAATCACCGATATATACAACACGCGAACGTACATCTGCCCACTGTTTCCATGGAAATTCAATTCTATAAATAGGTGTGTACAACAATTCATTAGAATCAGTAGCTCCTATTATATCTGGTATGGGAGCATGCCAATTACAAAATTTAGTTTTCAATTCAAATTTAGTTAATTCATTTGATTTTAATGTCGGATTTGTCATTTTTTCTGAGACAAACCAAAATGCATTAGGCGGTTGTAAAGGTACATAAGCAAATCTAGCACCTGGTCCCCAACTTTCAAATGCAGTTGTTGGATCAGACTGACTGAAACTCAAGGAAGGTTCAATAGATCGATAATTTATTATGCATCTCCAATAACTGTATCCACAATAGACAGGTTGTATTTCAAATTTGAGCTTATTTCTAACTGCTGAATTAATTCCATCAGCTGCAACAACTAAACTACCAGAATAATTTAAACCATTTTCGAACGTTATTATTACCGATTTACTTTTGAGATTGATAGATTTGAATTTATGATTTGTATGTATATGTTCAGGATCTAAACTATCCAATAATGCTGATTGTAGATCACCGCGTAGTAAACACAGACAAGAAGTGAACGAATTGATTAATGGATGTGGCTTGGCTAACCAATTACCGGTATGTGAGTCTCTGTATCCGGCACATATCATTAATTGACCTTTTGAATAAAGTTTATCTGTAATTCCTAGTGTATATAATGCTCGTAATGCAGGTCCCCATAATCCAATTCCAGTACCTGCACGTTTATCTGACTGTAGTTGAGTTGATTGTTCAAACAATTTGAATGGAATTTTCGCTATTGTACACGCTCGAGCTAGTGTCAAACCAGCTATACCACCTCCAATTATGAGTACAGGTAATGAAGACGATGTATCTGAATGGATATGAACATAATTAGGTATCAATACAATGGATGGATTTCGAGTAAATAATATAGATTTGATATGATGTTGTGGAAGTATTAATTGAGGAAGACGTATTAATCGAAGACCAGTTAACTTCCACATGTCTCAAATCTATTTGCCGTTGGACAGGATAGCATCTGTTTGTATATCTAAAACCAATAGTTTATTTGGTGAAATATAAACCCTTTAATGATATAAATTTATTTTTTACTTCTTACTAAAACTTTTCCTTTCAACTACAATCAATATCTTTCCATCCATTTGAAATTGGTACTAGATGTTTATAACAATATTATGCATTATGCGATTTATGAGAAGACCTAGCGTGTATAATGAGTAATTCCGTTCGATGTCACTCTTAAGTTGAACTATGTGGAATCACCAAAATAAAAGTGCTGTGGCAGGTGGAAAATTAGAGCTTTATCCAAAGCTGGCTGGTGGAAAACGCTGACGACCTAACGTAGACAATCCACTGTCGAAACATTGGACTTGAATTTTTTGAAGAAACCAGCCTTAATTCAAAGATAGAAGGTGAAAAGAGAAGAAGCGATTTCTAGCAAAATTGACCCTAACGATTTTGTTTTCTAATTCTGATTTTAAAACGTTAGAAACTGATGTTCTGAAGCAGTCTGATGCTTTACTTTTATCCTACTATCTCTCTCATTGCACACTTATATCGTATGACCGACTAGATCGTATACTTAACATTTTTTCTATGTTTACTAAAGAAATTGTGGGATTATTTACATGCCAGAAAATTCGCTACAGACTTTAATGTGCTACAAAATCTGCCAGCTTAGGTTAGCCTTAGCTCGTTTTGTAAAGGATACCTTGAATTATTTTTCCTAGAGCCCCAAGGTTCTGAAATTCCCGTAGATAAGAATATAGTCCAACACTATTTCTGCAGAATCTGAGTTCTCTAGCTATCTCTACTCAAAAGATATTTACAAAAGAGTGAGTTACATCCATCCATTGATACATTCCACTAACGAAAGGATGTGCATAGAATCACAGCCGAAACTTCCAGTCACCCACTTAGATAGTCATAGAAATGTTGTTCCCAAAATAGTACTGAAGATTATCGACTTATTCACTTGACATTCGTCGTTCACTGACATTGTGGGACAAGTCAAGCTAACTTATGAGAGATTTTACATAGCCATATATCTAAGTAAAAAATAAAAAGACAGAAAAATATCAGGTCTTGATATTTTTATGCAATTATTTCGTAGATAAGATATATCTATGGTAAAATACCGAAGAAGGGGACATATTTTGAGAACTTTTCTAACCACACACTATAAAATAAAGTTATTGCCAAAAATAACCGCTCTATAACAACTTAATATATGTTTGATTTTTAGTTCTTTGATATCGGTTTACATTAGAAGTAGACTTGGATGATCGTTGTACCGACGTTATAGTGCATCTGCTATAGTGACAGTCTACAATACGTTGAACAAAAAAGGCTGTTAAGTGGTGGCACTAGCAAATATCTCATCAACCACTGTTTATCAGAGTAATTTGGCTTTTTTAAACAAAATCTCTCACCGTTCATTATGAATCTCAGCATTTTACCTAATGAATCTGAGTACCACACAAGTTGAAGTGTACCCATGTTATTGTAACAGAAGCACTAAAACCTGAGAACGGTTATTTACGGTTAACGGTTAATAACCGTAACCGTTGCATGCCTCGTTACCGTTACTTTAACGATAACGACGTTTCCAGTTACCGTTGAAATAACGATAACTATCAATTAGTTAACTTTGTGGTAACTATTTTCGGACATGGTTTTGTAGTCTAATTTTGTTGATGGAAACAAAAAAGATGTCTCAAGCTGGCTACAGATACTGAGATCTCCAGAGACCTTAAAAGCAGCAGTTACGAAACGCTGAAGTTATATTTAACTTAATTGACTGGCACGTGTGTGCCAATCAAAACCGTATCACTTATGAAAGTTTCAACAGTTTTAGTGGAAAACTGGCGATTTTGGAAGCCATTTTAAGTCGCTGCATAGATATTTCTGCCGTACTTAAAAAATAGTTACCACGAAGTTAACTAACTGATAGTTACCGTTATTTCAACGGTAACTGGAAACGCAGTTATCGTTAAAGTAACGGTAACTGTATGTCAGTTAGCGTTAAATCAACGCAACGGGAACTTTTACAATCCTACTGCTGGGAGAGAATTAATTTACAAAAGAAGACACAAACCATTAGGAAAGTAAAGCGAAACCTAGGGGTTTGTTCATTGTATATAATGCAACAGAGATAGAAAGGAGACACTTGCTGTGTATATAAAGTAGACATTGTGGATTATGTGGTAAAATTTTCACCGAGTTCCATTGAATCAAAAGGGGAAGGGATACAGCGACGTATCTACGATTTCATTAAGGAGTGGGTCTACTTTTTTTTTCACTCGACACTTTTCTACTGCTTTTTGCTGAGTTGTGAGGTTGGCCTCTTTTTTTGAAGTTATAATTGAGTACTGAGCAATCAGAACTAAAAATACTAAAATCTGTTAAAAGAGGTTCTTCTGCAATATTTTTGTCTTCGACCTCGATTAGTGCGCCATTACAATACAATATACTGGGTCCCAATGTTATTCTACACTCAATATTGTGGGACCAATAATATTGGTCATCCCAACGTATTGGGTTTTCACAGTATTATTGGGTATTGGGTAGTGAGAGTTCAGCCTACGTTTACAGTACAGATGCATGTTCTATATCTTGAATCAAAATATAACCCAATTAGGCGTGCACCGATTAATAATCGATGTTAGGGCATCTGGCAGAGTCGTTCCGAATCAGTTCCGAACCAGTTTCGAACAATAACTTGAGCTGCCGAATGTCTCATTTTGTAGAAAAATGTTTACTCTACCAAAATGAAGTGCTAGAGACATTTTTCTACGATTTTGGTGCTTTTTCGGTTTAGCATATTCTCTATATATAACATTAAAATGTCTCTAGCAACTCCGTTTGGTAGAGTAAACATTTTTCTACAAATGAGACATTCGGCAGCTTTAAGTGTTATTTTGTAACTCAATCGACGTTATCCATGGACCACTCTTAACCAAGTGCCGGATACATCGCTGAAGGGCACAAGACCACGGGCGTGAATGAAACGGTGCCTTTACAGAAAAGTTGTAGTAAAAAGTATGGACTTTCAGAATTTGTATTTTTGCTTTGTTAACTGATATTTAGGGTGCTCAAAAAGAGAAAAAATATGGGACTGAATAACGAACGCTACCTTTTTCCTGACAATACAGGTGTTTACTATTCGTTTTTTCGGTGATAAATGTTGGAGCCAAGATCTGATTTGAATGGCAAAATATATAACTAAGTGTCATCTAAACTATGCACTTAAAATTAAACTCAAAAATATTTTTTTTCTGTGTTTGCTCTTCAGATTTATCCGCGGTAATGTGTATTAACCAGATAGCGTCACGGATCGGGCCGCAATTTGATGGTCCGAATGTGAGCTCATCGTCAGTCTTTTTCCCAGAAAGTCGATAAAATTACAAGATGACATTGGAAGGTAACATTCACATTAAATGTAGAAAAAAGACACTATCTTCTCTTGGAAATGTCACTGAGGAAGTTGGCTGTCCTTGAGCATCCGTTCTGCATTCATTCTACGGGTCTCTCCACAAATTTAATGCGTTCTCTCCGAGCCAGATTAGAACGAGTCAAAATTCTTGAGCCCAGATACGGATCGGGACAATCACTGATATTAACCGTTCGTCTGTGTTAAAATTCTGATAGTCGCTCAAAAAAATATATTAAATATATATTATAAACAATTTTAAATTGTTTTAAAATTAAACTTGGATCTTTTCATTCAAGCATTAATTTTCATTCATTTAAAGATGGTATTTGTGATTAGCATGAAAAACTGTATCTGATGATGTGTATTCAAGGTTTAGCGTAGAAAAAAATTTGCCTCAATCTTCAGAACGATGAATCACCATTACCTAAAACATTATATCTGTTCAGGGGTAGAAGTTTTAAAATTGATAAAAATAGTAACAGCAGCTGTTTTTAGATTCATGTTTATTTAATAAAAATTAAAATTAAAATTTTTCTTTTAAAAATAAAGTCGACGTTTCCAAAATTGTAATTTTCATTATCAAGACAATAGAGACGATTAACACGATATAAAGTTAAAACGAATATGACTAAATAACTACACAAAGGAAATAAAATACATTTTTTTTGTAGTATGAGAGAGAGAAAGAGAGAAATAGACATTCTTTGTAAGAGAGAGAAAAATATGTTTTGTAAAAATCGAGAACAATGAACAGACTATGCGCACAAAGGTCAAAATACACAAGGTTAAAATGCTTTAAGATATTATTTTGTTAAAACGATGAATTATCCTCCGAGATCGAGTAACAATTTTTTGGAAATTCCATTGGGATATACGAAAAGGGGTACTGAACGTACTGTGTTATTTAATTTTGGCTGATATCCCAATATTATTAACCATTCTTTAATTAGTAACCGATAACAGTTTGAATCCGTTAATAAAATTGTAACCCTTTACCCCCTCAGCGGTTCCAGAAGAGCCACTGATGAAACAACTACTGGAACAGAGTACTGGTGTCTCCAATATGGCAATCGTATGAACAGATCGGTCAGGCGCACTCTCGTTTGTGCAGAGTAGTTTAGTTACTCCAGTGACCATTGGGGATGAATGACTTGAAAAGTCCTGTTTTGGGCTTTTGTAAGTTTGATATAGTTCGACCAAAAAACATTGTGGAGAGCTCGGGGACATCTCATTTTGTAGAAAATTGCTTGCTCTATCATTCTATGTAGTTATAGGTGCTGGAAAACTACAGTAGTTACAAAAATTGATCAACTGGATTTATTTTCGATTTTTTCCTCAACTATAAACGCTAAAAAGAATTCAAATAGTGGCTTGAGTAGGGAAAATTGTTGCTAACTAGGATCTGCGAAAATAAAAATCATCGCTGGATTCCCAATAATAGAGTTTTCTAGAAAACCAAAACCCTAGTTTTCCGGCACCTAGAACTTGCGAATAAAATTTTTTCAAACTACGTAGAATGATAGAGCAAATAATTCTCTACAAAATGAG